CATAGTGCAGAAAGAGGAGCATTTTCTTCAGAGTTTCTTGGTATAAAATCAGTCAACTCATTTTGGGACAAATCATGTCAACTAAGTTGAAGACTCAGGTCTCCAGAGATGTGGCAATAACTTGGTAAAAAAAAACATCTCTGATGAAAAAACTGATACACAGAGGAGAGTAAAAGGATCAGTCTGATTTTTACATGTATATTCGAGCGCTGGTGATGTGGCCCTTACCGTGCTGCATAGCTAACCCAAAGAAAGGCAGAGCATCTCTGGTGGTTCAAATCCACCAGCTGCTCCTTGGGAGAGAGATAAGCAGTCTCTTCCTACTAACATTTACATCCCTGGAATCCCAACGGAGGGTCGCTTTGAGTCAGAATCAATTTGCTTGGTGTGGGTTTTTTTTGGGTGGGTTTAGACTGGAAGGCTCATCAAATCTTTCTTCTCCGTCTACAACCACAAAGCCCATGTAATCTTGCACACTGACATAGATTTTTGAAATCGCTTGCCCTGCTGCAGGGCACTGAATTAAAGATGGTAAAGCATAGACAACCTGTGTTTTTATATGGAAATAACAACCGCCAAGGTTTTACACAGAAAAAAAAATCCAAATGAATTTCAAAATACATAGCAAAACCTCTACCACAATACAAGTAAAAATTCAAGAGGAAAGTGACATATTTTGTGGAAAATGATTGGTAACATGTTTTTCTACTTCTGAAATATTTAGGCCTCCTGAATATTCAAATACAGTTTCAAATTTGATGGCCTGAGTATATTATTATTAATGATTTATCTAGCAAGTTCCCCTAAAATTACTTTTAGTACTATAAATAAAAGCCAAGTTATTTCTCCTCGAGTTTTTGGCATCATGGTATGGTCTTTAAAGATAAGTATTGCCATTTATTTTTTACAACGATATTTGGCAGTAGTCAGAAACTAATACATATGCATTAATACAAGACATATTTTTCAGAAGAATCATTTGTCAGTAAGATCTTCCCTAGAAATGGTGTCAGGACTAGAATGAGAAAGAGACTTAAGGTAGATCAAAGTGCCCTGTTGGTATCAGGAGGCAAGCTGAAAGGTCAGAAGTTCAAATTCAACAGCACCCCCTTGAAAGAAAAATGGAGGGCTTTTCTCCTAAAGCTTGACATCTAGGATTTGATGGAGGATCTTCACGCATTGGAATCGATTTAAGAGCAGTTTGGTGTTTTGGGGGACGGTAGATAAAGGAGTCTTGAGGCTTCCGTGGATTAAGCACTGGATTGCTGAGAGGCTGGTGGTTATATGCCACCTGAAGCTATGATGAAGACAGATGAGGAATTCAGCTTCCTCAAAATTTACAGCCTTGGAAAGGCTGCAGGGAATTTCTACACAGGCATATAGGTTCTCCAGGAGTTGGAAGTGACTCGATGGCAGTGGGTTTAGCATTGTTACGATGAAGAAATACCGTCAGAGGTAATGGTTAAGGAAATAAAAGTGAGTGTTATAAAGGACTCTTGCTTTTATTTATCAATCATTTTGTTCCACCTAAGAACTTGTTTTTACAGTAAGTCAAGTTTTTTGTCTATTAATTTGACAAATAAATTTAAGTCTTCTTGTGGTGTGCGGCTAAGTTGATTCTCTATCAATCCATCTCATCTGGGGGCTTCCTCTCCTGTGCTGTCCCTCCACCCTTCCAAGCATGATGTCCTTCTCCAAGGATCAGTCCCTTTTGGACACATGCCCAAAGTAAGAGTGATGGAGCTTCAGAATCCTAGCCTCCAAAGAGAAATTTATTTCACTCTCTCCAAGATAGACTTGTTTTCTTTGCAGTCCATAGTATGCACCAAAACTTAAGGACATCAATTCTTCTTCTGTCATCCTTAGTCATTCATTGTCTACCTCTCTGATGCATAGCAAGTAATTATGAAGACCATGGACAGGGTCAGGTGCACCTTAGTTTCTAGACTGACATTGTTGTTTCTCAGTATTCTGGGAAGGTCCTAACAGCAGATTTATCTAATGCAATTTTTCTTTTTATTTCCTGACTGTTGGTGCCAAAAGGGTTGATTGTGGAGCCGAGAAAGCTGTAACTGTTAACAACTTCAAACTCTTCTCCGTCCATCATGGTGCTGCCAATTGGCCCAGCAGTGAGAATCTTCATCTTCTTGATGTTGAGCTTCAGTCCACATTGAAGACTACATTCTTTAACCTTCTGCAGCCAAGAGCTTCAGGTCCTCCTCAATTTCAACAAACAAGGTTGTGTAATCCGCATAATGCAGATTGTCAATGAGTCTTCCTCCAATCCTGATGCCGCATTCCTCTTCATAAAGCCCAGTCTCCCAAATAATCTGTCCTGAATATTGATTGAAAAAGAATGGAGACAGGACTCATCCCCAACACACTCCCTTCCTGATACTGAACCATGTACTGTTTCCCTGTCCCGTTCTGAAGACTGCATCCTGGTTTAAGTATGTTTTGCATAAGCACAATCAAGTGTTTTGTGATTCCCATTCTCCTTAAGGTTTACCACAATTTGTTGTGATCCACACAGTAAAATGCCGTTGCATATTCAATGAAACATGGACAGATATCCCTCTGGTATTCTTTACTTTCTGCCAAGATCCATCTGACATTGGCAATAATGTTTCTTGTGCCATAGCCTCTTCTAAATTCTACTTGTATTTCTAGTAATTGTCAATGAACTCTTCCAGTTGTTTTTTCTGGATAATCGTCAGGATTTTGCTTGCATGTGATATGAATGATACTGTACGATAATTTTCCACACTCTGTCAGGTCACCTTTTGTTGAAGTGGGGATATATATAGATCTCTCCTAGTCAGTTGGGCAGGCCATTGTCCTCTAGATTTCTTGGCACAACCTGGTGAGCACATGCAGTGTAGCATCTGTTTGTTGAAACATGTCAATTGGTATTCATTCCATTAATTCCTGGGGCATTACCTTTTTTTGCCAAGTCCTTCAGAGCAGCCCATATGGGAGCAAGACCACATCAATATTTGTAAACGGAATAAAAACAGCCATTATTATTTTTACTCAAAACCAAACACACTGCCACTGAGTCAGAACAAACTCATAGTTTACTCAGCAGGCTTTCAGAGATAATCCATTTTTCTTTTGTGAAGCAGCTGGTGGATTTGAAGCTAAAGCCTTAGGGTTTAGAGCAAAACACTTTATCAACAGCTTAATATTAGTTGAGAGCCCTGTGTGCTTCCTGAAGATGAACAGGACTTGAAACACTTACTGATAAAGGTCAAAGACTATAGTCTTCAGTAGGAATTTTCTCACAAATTGGATCAAGGAACAATCTCATGATAAAAAGAGACCAGACTGAAGTGCTCAGAATTTCACTGTCATTAGATCTGCGATCAATGCCCACGGAAACAGCAGTCAAGAAATCAAACCATACAATACATGGAACCAAATCTGCTGCATGGAGGAAACAAAATGAAACCAGAACAAAACCGCAAAGCCTTAAAAAAGAACTTAACGCACAAACCCCCTCATTGGTACACAATCCCCCCCGCACCTCCCCAAACCCCACCCCCTAGCCCCAAATATAATCCACTCTACAACCCTCATTGCATACTCCTACGATAAAAGTAATGTCCTAAAATATAATACTTTTAGACTATTCTCTCCCCCCATAGACTTCAATGCCGTAAACATATTTCATCCAGCTTTTCTCAGTCTTAACCCCACCCCAATGCCAGCCTCATTCTACAACAATGGCACCATATAGCATAGATTATATTTGGGGGTAAGGGGTGGGGTTTGGGGAGGTGCGGGGGGGATTGTGTACCAATGAGGGAGATTTTCTTTTGCTTTTCAAGGAGAGGAGCAAAGGGGGGGAGGGGTTTGTGCGGGAAGAAGGGTGCAACAATGAATGAATGGAATCCCAAAATCTCTGTAGATGTTCATTGAAATGAAAAATAAACAACCTAAATTAAAAAAAAAGAACTTAACGCATTAAAAAGCAAATTGCTATTGTAGAGAACGAAAACATTGCTAACCCAAGCCACTGGATTTTCCAATTGTTTTATATGCGTGGGAAATGAACAGCAAATGAACAGCAAAGACTGGGAAAAATGTATGCATTTCAATTATCACTGAAGGAAAGAATATTCCGTGGCTATCAAAAGAAAAGAAAAAAAAACCCAACACAAATTTTTCTTGGAAGTAGTGTCCAACACTCCTTAGAAGCTAGGATGGTGAGAATTAGTTTCATAACTTTGGACATCTTATGTTAGGATGGACCAGTCACTGGAGAGGAATCTCATGGTTAGCAAAGCAGAGGGCCAGCAAAAAACGACCTATAACAAGATGGACTGGCACCCTGGTGCAAAAATAAGGCCAGAATTAGCAAAGTCTGTGAGGTTAGCAAAAGACTGGGTAGTGTTTCTTTTTTGCTGTGTGTAAGGTCACTATGAGGTAACTCTGGTAAGGAGTTGCACTGCCAATCCAAAGGCATGTGGTTTGAATCTACCAGCTGCTCTGTGGGAAGAAGACAGGCAATCTGTTCAGTTTACTGCCTCTGAAAATCTGCTGGAGGATCAGCTACAACTTGATGGTAAATAACAACAATAACAAGGTCATTGTAAGTCAGAAGTTACTAGATCACATCTTGAAACAATATGAGTACAAGGCAGCCTCATGCCATGTGCTTTACAAACACGTATCTCATTTAATGCTCTGACAAAACTCTCAAACTCACACATGCGAAAACTGCACCTCAGGCAGTTATCTATGTTTCTCAAAGGTATAGAACCAGTGTGCACCAGTTTGAAAACAATGTAGTTATACTACTACACTTGCTTATACAAAACCCACTAGAAATAACTTTGCATTTGATATATTTTATTAATTTATCTAAAAATTCTATATAACTAGGTCAAAATGAAGAATGACAAAACTACAAAGTTGAGCAACAAAGTTTCTCTTTTTACATAAAAATAGATGTAAAGGCAAGGAGATTTTTCTCATGAATCTCATTATATGTTTACCTGTATAGGACCAGCCAATTTCTTCAACAAGTTTTCTCTGTTGCCTGTAGTATCCATAAGCCAAATCTGTAATCAAAAACAGAGAAAAGACAATATTATCACTGTACAGAAAAATACTCATCCAGACTCATTGCATTTGAGTTAGAACCAATGCAGAGCTGACCCCCCCATGTGATCACAGGAGGAGACGGCTCATCTCGCCAGGCTGGGCCACCAGGGAGTTCAAACTCCCAGAGTGGCATCTCCTTTATGTTAACAGGGTGATGCCCAATGGAGAATGCCACCAGACAGACCTCAAGGTCCACTTGTGGAAAGAACCATTCTGGATACACATACCTTAATTATACTGTTGTTGTTAGGTGTCATCAAGTTTAATATGACTCATAGTGGCCCTACGAACAGCTGACCAGAAACCTGCCCTATCTTGTGCCATCCTCTAAAGCCCACTGCTGAAGTCACAGTGTCAATCTATCTCATTGGGGGTTTTCCTCTCATTCTCTGATCCTCTATTTTTCCAACTACAAAGTCCTTCTGCAAGGAATCACCTCACCGAACCACAAGTCCAAGGTATAAAAGATGAAGCATCATCATCGTTGTCTCAAGAAGCACTCTGGCCGCACATTTTCCGTTTGTTCTTTCGGCCGTCCACAGGATATCTTGTACTTTTCTCTAGCACCACAACTCAAAGGCATCAATTCTTCCTCTGTCATCCTTATTCATTGTCCAGGTCTCTGATGCATAATAGGTGAATGAGAAGACCATGACCTGAATCAGGTGCACCTTAGCATCCAAATTGATATCATTGTCCCTCAGTATTTTGGAGAGGTCCCTGATAGGGGAGATTTGCCCAATACATCTTCTGATTTCCTGACTGCTGGTAACAATGGTGCTGATTGTTGATTCAGACAAAATAAAGTCATTGTCAGGTTCAATCTTTTCTCCATCTATCGCAATATGTGATTCAAGTCATGGTCTTTTCTATTACTTGCTATGTATCTGTGAGCTGGACAATGAGTAAGGATGACAGAAGAAGAATTGATGCCTTTGAGTTTGAAAGTGATATATGATTGGGCATTATGGTTATGATAAGAGTCCAGAATGAAGGCAGCATACTGGAGTGTACTGGGGGTGGGGGGTGGAGATTGTATACCAATGAAAGAATTTTTCTTTTACTTTTCAAAGAGGAGAGCAAATTGGGGGGTGGGCAGGGAGAAAAATGCAACAATGAATGTATGGAAATCCAAAATCTGTGTAAACATTCATTAAAATTAATTTAAAAAATAAAAAAGGAGGGAGAGGGAGCAAAAGTAAAATAGAAACCAGCTAAGGACATGCAAAGAGACCCAGGATTTCAATTAACCCCTTGTTAAAGTCAACTAAAAACATTGTAAACCAATGTAGCTCCACCTTCTTGAAAAGACTCATTCAGGCATCGAGGCCAAGTCTCTCTTCCTGCTTACTGGAGCTCCTGTCTGGCAAGGCAATGACCAACATAGAAACAGCACCATTCAGATTTGGATGGACTGAGGGGGAGGATGGGGGAATCTCTATTTCGGCTTTTCTCTAGAGGTGCAGTGAAATGAAATGCTTTTTTACTTTTTTTCAGATCCTTGAATAGAAATCCTCTACATTTAAAAAAAGAATCTTTGTTTTCTCAGTACTCCTAAGGTCACTGGATAGCGTTATGTTGGGTTTGGGGTTTAGTTTGCTGTTTGTTTCAATTCTAGTAAAATCCCATGATTGTCTGCACTCTGTTGCTACCATATCACCTTGCCATTAAAACAGACTTTGTGCATTTCATGGAGAAAAAAAAAAAAAAAGAACTGATGCCTTTGAACTGTGGTGTTGGAGAAGAGCACTGAAGATCCCATAGACTGCCAGAAAAAGAAACAATAGATATGTCTTGGAAAAGGTGCAGCTGAAGGACTCCTTGAAGGCAAGAATGACAAAGCTTTGACTCTCTTACTTTTAACATATTGCTAAGAGATATTCTTTCTTAGAAAAGGGTAACATGCTTGGAAGGGAGAAGGGTGGAGAGGAAGACTCCTGTTGAGATGAACTGACATGGTGTGACTGCTGCAAAGGGCTCTAATATGTCAAGAAGAGTGATGATGGCACATGCTAGGAGAGGATACAGATCTGTTGTTCACTGGGCCACTATGAGTCATACTCGATTCAACGGCATTTAATAACAACAACATACCTAAATCATTCATTCTACAAATGGACCTTCATTACTCCTTCCCATGAACTCTCTCCAACATGCTTCCTCTATCTCAAGTATCTCAGAGTTTATTAGATAGAAGAAAAAGAATTACTTGAGAGAGAGAGAGAGAGAAAGAAAGAAACTGGTCCCAAAAAATGAACAAGCCTTTCATCAGCATTCTGAGAGGGCTAGTAGGGAGGATCAGAGAGGCAAACAGTCAAAGACCGTTTCCTTTTATAGGAGTCTTCAGGGAGCCTTAGAGAGGGTAGTAGTTTGCTCCAGAATTTGAGGACAGAGGTCCTGTCAATGTGTGATCAGGTCCAAGGCCTCATTAGGATCAATCAAGAGATAGACATTATTAGGTTTCTTCAAGGAATGACCCAGCCTGGGGGCAACTGTGACAATCATCCTCCAGAGTTAGTGTCAATTTTAGAGGCATGATAATGCACAGGTTAGGGACAAATCAAATGTTCTAGGTAAAGCAGGAGCAATTGAAAGGTATCCATCCCTAGACAGAGTAGGGAAAGGAAGGTCAATTTCTTTACCCTTCCCCCAAATTTTTTTATCATTATGCAAATCTAATACTTGAAAAATAATTAGAGATACTTTGGTATTTAAATCCAAGCTCAATTTGTAAAAGTTTCTAGGAGATTGGAGAGATTATCCTGCATTCCAAAACAGCTTTCTTTCTTTTTTATTATTAATTTCAATGAAAATTTACAGAGACTTTGGATTTCCATTCATTCACTGTTGCACTTTTCTCCCCTTGCAACCCCCCCCTCCCCTAGTATACTACCCTCTTGGAAAAGTAAAAGAAAAATTCTTTCATTGTTTTACAATCCCTCTGCCCAGGTCCACTTTACTATGCTGCCTTTATTCTGGACTCCTGTCATGACAAAAATAGCTAATCACATATCCCCTTTAAACAGTTTTCTCCCTCATCTGTTTCAATGCAGTATATATTACTGAACCCATCTTTCTCAGTCTCCCTCCAACCCCGAGGTCAGTCCTGTTTTACAACAGTGGCACCATGCAGTATTTGTCCTTTTGTGGCTAAGTCACTTCACTCAGCATAATGTCCTCCAGAGTCACCCATTTTGAATAATATTGCATGAGTTCCTTGTTTTTAAATGTAGCATAGTATTCCATTGTGTGAATATTCTACAGCTTCTCTATCCATTTGTTTGTTGATGGGCACTTAGGTTGTTTCCAACTCCTTGCTATTGTAAACAAAGCCACGATAAACATGGGTGTGCATTCTTTCATTGTTTTACAATGCCTCCCCCCAAGTCTACTCCACTATGCATCCTTCTAGACTCCTGTAATGACAATAATACCTAATCATATATCCCTTTTAAACAGTTTTCTCCCTCATCAGTTTCAATGCAGTACACATTATTTAACCCATCTTTCTCAGTCTCCCCCAACACCAATGTCAGTTCTGTTTACAGTGCCACTGCTATAAAACAGCTCACTTTCTAATGCAAAACAAGGTGAGCAACTTTGAGAAGATGGGACTAGAGGTATCTCCTGAGAGACAGGATGCTTTATGTCAGACAATGTAGATGAGCCTGCACAGGGTTTGCAAACCCTGATGGTGTGGTGCCTAAAGTACTCAGCTCTTAACTGAAAAGCTAGAGGTTGAGCTTTACCAGTCTCTTTGCTGGATAAAGATGAGGCACTTGGCTTCCTTAAAGATGACAACTTTGACAGCCTTCTAGGGGAGTTATGCTCTGTCCTTCATCGAGGATCAAGAATTCCTGGTGGTGTAGTATTATGTGCTGTGTCTACCAGATAGTACTGAGGTGGGGGCTGGGGTGGGGTGGGGGGATAGGTAATCTCCTTCTGTAAAGATTTACACCTCAGAAAATGCATGTGTAGGATTTGACTCGAGCGCTGTAAGTATGAGTGGAGAGTTTCTTCTTAGTGTAGTTCCTTCAGAATCGTAGCTACGCGAGTAGTGTGACTGAGGCAAATCCAGGGTTTCATAAAGGTTATCAGTGCTCATGACTTCGAGGCTCCAGATCTAAAACATGGGCCAAATTCTACGTGCTTCAAAATGAGCCATGAGCCATGCCTGCACCTAGAACTGGAGATGTTAGGATTCATCTTCTCCTTCTACTGCCATTGTTCCTTAACCCCCAGGTTGTAGTAATGTCAGAACTCAGTCCGGCTACGGTGGGTGAAATATCAATTCACCTGGTTGAGGGTCTTCCTCTTCTTTGCTGATCCTCCAACCTTCCCAGTATTATGTCCTTCTCCAAGGAATAGCACCCATTAGCAACATGTCCAAAGTATGTGAGGTGAAGCTTCATCATTCTTGCCATCAAAGAGGACTCTGGCTGCACCATCTCCCAGATACATCTGTTTCTTCTCTTGGTTGCCCATGGGATGTTCGGTGCTTTTCTCCAACACCACAGCTCAAAGACATCAATTATTTTTCTGTCATCATTATTCATTGCCCAACTCCTGGATGCATAGCTAGTAACTGGAAAGACAATGGCCTGAATCAGACATACCTTAGTTTGCAAACTGACTTCACTACTCCTCAATAATTTGGAAAGTTCCCTAACTGTGTATTTTCTCAGAGCAGTGCAGCTCCTTATTTCCTGACTGCTGGTACCAAGCAATTGTGGATTCAAGCAAGATGAAGCTGTTGACAGTTTATATCTCCTCTCCA